TTAAACATCCAGCAGAAAAGTATAAAAACAAAGTATAAGAAGTCAAGCCATGGTGTTATATTGAGCTATAGGGAACTCAGGTCAACAATTTCTGCCATTGCCAGTGAAGCAGAAGACCCAATACTATTATGGACTACTGAACTCTTTTAGAATATTTTGCTGAGTTTACACACCTATATTATTTAAATGATGGAACTTAACAAAAAAAGGTGATACAGATGAATATCCATTTTGTATCTGTGTATTCGAAATCGTTAGGATCGATACATAGTTACATACTCTTAATTAATAGAGGGATTTGTTCTAATGGTGTTTGTAAATAGCATATCAAATCTGCATTTGTACAGCAATTAACCACTAGGAAGAATGTATGCAATGTGTTAATTATTGAAACTGTCCTACCAGTTTGGTTTGAAACTGTCTCATTGGTATTTGTTTCTTAATAAAATTATGGAAAAAAAATTTTTAAAAAAATAAAAAAAGGACTGGAGACACAGCTTAGTTCAAAGGTTCTGGGTTTAATTCCCAGTATACCACAGGAGTGAAAATGAGTTATCCAAAATACTCTCTGCTAGGGGCCGGGGAGATAGCTCAGTAGAATAAGAGCTTGCCTGGCAAGCGCAAGGGCCTGAGTTCAATTCCCAGTTCCGCCAAAAATAAAAAAATAAAAAAAAAAAAAAAAAAAAAACTCTCTGCTTAAGAATTAATCTAAAATACAGACGAGAGGTAAAACTAAAGTATGAAGTACTTTCTAGGCCTTTTTAGATTGACTCATTCATAAGCTCATGCCAAAGGACTAACTAGAAGCTATCTAGTTCAAGAATTAACCCACTTTTGGTCTGTTTTTCACCCATTTGTCAGAACTTAGCACCAAAAATGAGAGTGTCTTTAAGTTATTATTGCTCAGCAACACACGGGATTCTTTCAGAACTTCTACCACAACTTCTACCACGGCTGATTTGCTAGTCACAAAAGCAAGAAACCCAACTCATGTTTACCACAAGGTATCCTGGACTGTCACTCATGCTGTCACTGTTCCCTCTTCCCAGTCAAAGAGAAAAAGGTAAAGGAGGAAAAGAACAAATTTTTAGGGAAAGCAACTCTTAAATTACTGCGTCTGTCATATATACCATGTCTTCTATTTTCACATCACATATTCGCAACACATTAAAATAAAACTGATATGCAACTTTATCAAATAAAAGGTGTGTATGACTCAGTCTCCGGCTCAACAGGCCCTGGGGGCAGGGCCAGCGCAGCATGCAGGACTGGGGATCAAACCCTGGTCCCTGCACTTGCCAAAGCAGACACTTAGTTCACTGAGCTATCTCGTCAGCCCTCTATGATTCTTTTTAACTCTCTAGAACATTTAAAATACTTTAGGTTCTTTATAGTCTCGTATGTGGCTACTCAAAACTTGATCCCTGGAGATGGCTCACTTCCCATGCTCTGTACAGACGTTTCTCCTCAAGACAGGCCTAGTACCAAAGCTTGAGAAGAACAAGACTGCAAGCTTAACATGCAAAATATACAGAAATAGAAACTATTTTATAAAACTGGGAAGGGCTGGCCAAGTAGCTCAGCAGATTAAAGAACCTGCTTAGGTAAATGCAGCAGGGGGGTTTGATCCTCACCCCTGGGGCTCACTGAGATGGTGATTGAGACTGGGCGTGGTGGCATGAGCCGCGGTCCCAGCGCTTGGGGGTCTGAAAACAGGCAAATCAGTGCAAGTCCAATCTGTGGAGTGAGACCCTGTAGGCCCCTACTAAAATTAAAAAAAAAACAACTGTGAAATATATTTAAGTAATTCCTTCTTTATAATTTTGTCTTTTCCCACCCTTCTTTTTGCTATTCTGAGAAGGTTCTCACTATATAGCTGAGACTGGCCTTAAGTTTCTGGTGATACGCCCGTAACAGCCTCCCAAAAGGTGGGATTACAGGCATGTGCCACTACACTGAACTTTACTTATTTTTATTTGAGAAAAAAATAAAAATAATAAAAATTTCAAAACAGGTTAGGAGAAGAATTATGATAATGTCTCAGTTACTTCTCAATTTACAGTATCTATTGTACATTTTGGCTATTATTTACTTGTTCAGTTTTGCACACTAGTGAAACAATACAATGACTGACACCTACAGGTCTGATTTATTTCACTTCTGAGTATGGTTTCAAGTTGCATCCATTTACCTATAAAAGTCTCCAGTTTATCCTTCTTTCTGGCTGAGTAGTACTCCATTATATTAAAAAAAACTTTTTTTTATCCATTCCTCAGCTGATGGGCATTTAGGTTGTTTCAAAGATTTAGCTACTAATAATTGTGCTGCTACAAACATGGGTGCACATATATTACCGAGGTATGATGTATTAAATTCTTCTGGGAAAGTACCCAGGAAGGAAATAGCTGGGTCAAATGGGACCTCTAATCCTAGTTTTTAAGCAACCTCCACACTGATTTCCACTGTGGTTGTACCAATCTACACTGCCAGCAACAGTGAAGAAGCATTCCTTTTCCCCCACAGGCTTGCCAGCATTTAGTATTGGTTGATTTCTTGATGATAGCCATTCTTTCTGGAATGGAATCTCAGTGTTGTTTTAATTTGTATCTCTCTAGTGACCAGTGACTTTGAACATTTTTTGACATATCTATTTGCTGTTTGTATATTGTCATCTGAGAAGTGTGTGTACATCTCAGATGCATATTTTTGGATTGGGTCTTTGAATTTGGGGGGGGGATCTGATTTTTTTCAATTCATTGTATGTTCTAGATCTAAGTCCTTTGTCTGAGGGTTACAATTTTTTTCCCACTCTGTGGGATGAACTTTATTTATTTATTTTTTGGTACCAGGGATAGAACTCAGGACCTTGAGTTTGCCAGGCAGGTACTGATGCCACTGAGCTATCTCTCCAGCACTTAAATAATTTCTCTGTATTTAAAAAATCTAGCTAGCAGTTTAAATTATTATCATAAAATTTCACTAAATGTGTCACTCTAGTATTCATATAATGGAATAGAAAATAAAAGTCACAACAACACAGAATTTGGGGGGGGGGATTTTCACAAACAGATGACATTTTGTAAGATCCCAGCTCCCATAAAAAAAAAAAAAAAAATTAAGAGCCAGTTGTGTTGGTACTTAACCCAGCAAACGTGAGGCTAAGGCAGAAGGACCACCATGAATTCAAGGCCAGCCAGGACTACATAGTGATCACGTTCAAGGCTAGTCTGAACTACATAGTGAAAACCTATCTCAAAAAAAAGTCAAAATGGGCTAGGAATGTAGCCAAGCATCCTCAAGGCCCTGGGTTCAATTCCTTGTACAACATTTGGAAATAAAAATTGTAGAACTAGAAAATACATTTGCATACACTCTAAGAGTTCTTTTTTGTCTATACGCTCCACTTTTGAAATCCCACTTATTCCCATAGCTAGGCAGATGATCTCAGAATTACTCTCCCACTAGAGGCAGTTTCCAACACTTTACTTTTATCTCAGTTTGGGCATTCTTACTTAATTATACCACTAGCTCAAAAGTAACATGCCTAAAATACTTATCTTTCATCTTCATCTTAGATGTTTTACTTTTCTACGTCTGTCCATGCTAAACCCATTCTCCGCCTGTCTGGGTTTTTTTTTACCTTCACTCCTAAACTTGATATATCACTCTGGCTTACTACCCTCATTGAAACCCTTCACAAATACACTTTCCCTTCTCCATTCCTGGCTCAAGTCCTTCTCTCAACCAAATTGGTTTTCTCACTCTTTTGAATAAACTCTGCCCTCTGCACTTTTTCTTACATTTCTAGTCTTCTAGGAGAGCCCAACCATTACCACTCCAATTCAAATTCTTTCTACTTATTCTTCAAGATAACTAAGGTCAGTCCTTCTTCCTTGCTGACCACCCAATTCTGGAAACACTTCCTTTGCTTCTTAATTCTTAAAGTCTTATTTATAGTTGAGCATTCATTTGGCAATTTAATCAAACGTTGGCTTATGACAACTCTTCAATTGAGACCAGATCAAAACTATTTATTTCTACCCCATCCTGAATGGTGTCCAGTGCTGCACAAAGTCACTCAGAAGCATTTATTTTTAGATGGCTGATTTATTGGTTGAAATTACACCTTTCCATGGAGATTGTTCTGAATAGAAGGCACGAGGTGATAGACTGTCATCAACCTTTTCCTAATGTGGCCAAAATCATGTTAAAACGAAGAAGTCAGTCCCAGCTTCGTAAGTATATAAGGAAAAGAATCCAGGCATACACAAGTTCCATTCTTTTTTAAAGTTTGTGATGTAGATTTGCCCTACCCACCCATCCCACCTCCAAAACTCTGAAAACTGCTCAAAGGTTCGAAGGATTAGGTTAGATGGGTTGATCCCTTCCACTACGTCTAGAAAACTTCAAGAAGATACTATACACCGAACAACTCTCAAGATAGTCTCCGAAAGAGCACAGAGGCGATAAAGTGCTGGTGACAGCGCTTGGAAGCAAAGGTTCAATTGTTCCATCGCAGCTGGGGACAGATACAAATCTACCCTCTGCCCCACAACCCACCCACGTATAAAACGGGTCGCAAAGGTGAAAATAAGGAAGGTCTGAGGGCTGCGGCTACCTCCCGGTCCTCCAGACCGGTTGCCCGGCGTTCCCAGCGTGGGTCCGGGAGCCCTGGGGCACTGCCTGACGGCTCCAAAGGCGGTCCCAAGGGTGGGTCCCACCCGAGCTGGGTGCCGCCCCACCCCGAGCGGACGAGCGCAGGCCCGCGACACCCAGCCGGAGCCCCGGACTGCAGGGGACCGGTCTCGGCGCCGCCGCCAGTCTCCGCCCCTCCGCGATTCCCCGCCCCGCGCCCCGCAGGACGCAGCTGCCTGGCGTGGGGAGAGCGGCCTGTGCGCGCCCCGCGCGGAGATCCCCAAGCCTGGCACAGCCGGTGCGCACACCTGAGCTATCGCCATCCTCCGACACCGACGAGCTCTCCGTGTCCTCGTCCTCGGAGCTGCTCCCTTCGTTTTCGGCGTAGTCCACCTCCATCTCATCGTGATGGTTTGTCTCCTTCTTGTCCCCACGGGAATGGACCGGCATTTTCCAGCCGCGCCGTCGCTTTCCACTCCCGGCGCCCAGCTCGGCCACCGCCGCCTCAGTGAAGGGCGCGCCAATCGCCCCGACCCACCCGGTGGCCAAGCTCTCCCGGACCCCCTTGGCACCTCCCCGCCCCTGGCCAGGGCCTCACAACCTAACCCGCAGGCTCTGCGCTGAGGGCTCTGCTATTGGTCAAGGTTAGGGGCGTGGTTTACCCTGCCGGGCTATGATTGGATCTCCGAAATGATGGCGCAGCTCGTGATGTATATTGGGATTTGTAGTCCTAGGTGCTCAGCCCTGAAGGGGCTGAGGGCTTCCATGGTTCAGCAGTCGCGATCCCTACACCCTCCGGACTTCAAGTCCCACAAGGCACAAAAGCTGACACATTCGAACGCAGTTTATAAACTAAACAGAAACAGATTGTGCGAATTTGGTCTGTATGTATCTTTTTCCCGCCGTGAAACTGTCTGACCTCCCTACCTATTCAAGATATTTGTGTAAAATGTCTACAGGTATTTTACCAGAAAGGGTCTTTGCCTGCTCTTTGAGCCTCAGAACTGCAGAATTATCCTGTTCTGCCTTAATACGTCAGTTACCACAAATAAACTATTACATGGAATAGGAATTGTAGAAAAATAACGCGCACTATGCTGCGCACACAGACACACAAAGCCACTAAGTTGTTATTCAACAATCAAAAATACAGAAGGGCTCAAGTCTGTAATCCCAGCCTTGGGAGGCTGACGCAGGAGGATTGGTGGGAGTACGCGACCAGCCAGGGCCAAACAGTTCAAGGCCAGCCTGATCAGCATGGTGAGATTTTAAAAAAAGAAAGGAAAAGAGAAGAGAAGAAAATATTATTTTGGCATGTTTAATCTAGACTTTCCTTGCTTTGTTTTACTAAATGCAGCCAGAAGATACCACCAGTCTCCTACTGAGTAAAATCCAAATCAGAGACTTTATTATTTAAAGTCTAACTGTATTTTCCAAAACTCAACTCCTTACAGTTGCAAAGCACATACACGGTTTCCCATTTCAGTGTCTGTACAGTCTGTTCCTTCTACAAACACATTCCTCTCCTTTTTCTTTTCTTGACAGCATCATTACCAACACCTCCACCATTTAGTATACACCACGAGGTTCTCCTGTTCTTTGCACTTGGCAACTTTGTACTTGTTTCTATCACACTACATTGTAATTTGTTTGCCACTCCTTGCATTTTTGGATTGAGTTCCTGCAGTGCACCGATTGTATTAGTCTGGGTGTTTTAGTCAAAAGCAAGCTGTACAAGGGTGGGGGATGTTAAAAGACGGAAACCTCATGTGAGTCATGGACTAAAGCAGGCACCAGTGTTTACCAGCTAGTTGTTACTACCTGAGAATTCTAGCTTAACGGTGTCAGACCTTCTGATTTTCAAGAAACTGGATATTTACATGTATGATATGTACTATCCAGATTAGTAAATATTTTCTCAAGTGGGATTTTGATTTGTTTATTTAACCCCAGACCAAATAACAGCTGTAAGTATAATCCCTGGCTTCTACCAATCATGGTATGAGCAGCTAGCAAAGTATGTGCTACATATAGTAGTAATGAGTGCTTAGATCTCTGGTACTGTTCATGTGCCAAGCACTGTTATGCATGTTAAATAATTCATTGAATCCCCAGAACGGCCCTAGAAGGATATCATGTTTTTATAAACAAGGAAACTGAGGTACAGAGCAACTAGATTACTTGGCCAAGGTCAAGTAAGGGATCTAAGACTTGAACTTGGGTAGTCCGGCATTACATCCTGCACGCAATGACTGGTATAGAGTGTGGCTCTAGTGAGTGCTTTCTGCTTCTGCTCTTCAAACTGAAAAAAAAAAAAGAAACTGGAAAAGAGGAGGTACAGGATCAAGCCTTGATTCTCTTACTAACCAGCTGATTAAATTAAGTGAAACATAAAAGACTGATCGGTTGTAAATTGAGAAGTTTGCATAAATTCTCCTCCAGCTCTAAAATTCTTCTCATCATTAAAGTTGTGTTTAAGACAGACAAAAATATTAAGAGATTATTTGGGAGTGGTGGTACAAGTCTGTAGTCCCAACATTCAGAGGCCAATGAAGGGAGGATCGCTTGAGACCAGGAGTTCAAGCCCAGTGTTATAGTTTGTGTCTAATTGTCTCCCTCAAAGCCTCGTGTAGTCATGGGGAAGCTTCTAGAGTTTGTGATTAATTCATGATCTAATGCTGGTATTATGGGTGTGAGTGCTACTTGGATTATGGGTGTGAGTGCTACACCCATGGATAATCTGAGTGCAAATGTAAGGAAGAGAGAGAGGCTGATCCTCCCTTTTTGCTCTTGCTGTTTTCTGCCCCCATAAACTTGCTTTCTGCCATGTGCCACCCTGCCTTGCAGCCGCCAGGTATGGACTGAAACCTCCACAAGTGTGAGTTAAATAAACCTTTCCTTTTTTAATTTAGGGTGTCAGATATTTTATCCCAGCAATGAGTGAAAAGTAACTGAGACACCCAGCCTGGGCAACATAGCAAGACCTTGCCTCAAAACAATAATAATAATAATAATAATAATAATAATAGGAATAATGTAATTAAGAGTTATAATTGTATTTGGACTAAGGAAGATGTTGTTCTTTCCTAGAACAAAAAAAGATTTTGGAAAAGATGTGTAGGAAGAGCCACAAGGGAGAAAAATTAATGAGTCAAGGAAAGAATATTGTGGATACAGAAAATTAAAAGTAGTATAAAGAAAACCAAGTTAGGTGTGGTGGCACATGCCTGTAATCTCAGAGTTCTGGGAGGCTGAGACAAGAACATCACAAATTTGAGCCTCTGGGCTGTTTAGCAACTTAGTAAGACCCTGTCTCAAAATAAAAATAAAATAAATAAAATGCAGTTGTAGCTGGCTGTGAAGCACTGGGTCCAATCCCCAGTAAAACACACACACACACACACACACACACACACACACACAGCCAAAAAACTATGAAAGCAGAATGAAATTTCAAGACATTTGAAGAGGTAGTGATGATGCTTTAAACTTAAGTAGCACTATTTATACATTTATCAATAGCCCTTGGAACTCTTTTTTTTTTTTTTTTTTTGAGAAGGGTCTACAGGGTATTCAGGGTCTCACTACTAGATCAGACTCGTAGTGATCCACCTGTTTACAACCTCCCAAGAGCTGGGATTACAGGCATGTACCACCATGCCCAGTCTCAATCACCATCTCAGTGCATCCCGGGAACGGGGCCAGCATGGCAGGCTGGGGGATCGAACTCCCAGCCCCTGCAGCTGTTTACAGGTACTTTAATGCACTGAGCTATTTGGCCAGCCCTGGAACTCTTGATCAGTCATCAGCAAACTCTCCTATATCTTCATCCTTTTCTCCAAACTATTCCTTTAACTTCCCTGTCCTAAAAGAAACATCGCCCTTCCTTGCACCCTGCTGCTTTGTACCCCACTTCCCACTAAGCCTTGTAATTGAGTGAATGTATTCCTTGTCCTCTTTGTTGCTTCTATTTCTTCCCTGCCCTACCTAAAACCCCCAGCTTGTCACCAGAGAAACTAGACAGTACCTCTACTGTTGTCATCACCTATGTATCTCCAGAGTAACTCCCTATCTTAGTTACTTTTCTTGTCGCTGAGTCAAAATACCCAACATCGAAAGTTATAGGAGAAAAGATTTATCATAGCTCACAGCGTGTATCGCTTTTGGTTCATATTTGGCTGAAGCAAGGCCAGGTGCCATAGTAAAGAGCCACCGCACAAGAAACAGTTCATGGCAAACAGAGGGCAGAAAGTAGCAAAGCAGCAAAGGGCCAGAGCAGTCCTTTCTGTCCCTTCTATTCCATCCAGGCCACCTCCTTAGGATGGGAAGCACTGACACTCCGAGTGAGGCATTCCTAATCCTTGCACCACGAATGAATTCACATCCTTAATCCCAGCTTCACACACTCGAGATCCAGCCACCTCCAGAAAGCCTCAGTAGGACTGCATGAGGCTTTGAGGAGACATCTAGACAGAAGCCATAACACTCCCCTTCAATTTTTTGAAGATTTTTAGCTCCTGGCTCAGTGTCATTCTAAGGAGATCCTTTTTCATAATTCTTAGCCACAGCAGTATTTATGAAGCTGATTTCCATTTCCTATTGGGCTTATGCTGGCACAGAGTAGATATAAAATGAGCACGGCATTTATCTTCGAGTGCGTCCTAGAACTTTTGGGGGTGTGGTTTTTACCTAATATGTTTTCTTGAATATTTAAATATTCTCTAATAATGTACACACCTAGAAAGTTAGTTAAAATATATGACATGTGCTTGCTTTAGCAGCACATGTACTCAAATATATGAAAGTGCTTTTCTCTAGTTTTTGTCAAATTTTAGAATTTGCCATATTTGTTTCAGATCCCCTTCAATCCTAATTCTTCCCATTTCCAACGTAATCTTGACATGCACTCTGGTGCTTCTGATCACCAAGCAAGTGTACACTCTATTTTCACATATGTGTATCCATAATCAGAGGGCCGCACCCAGGCATGCTGAGACAGTGATTGAGATTGGGCGTGGTGGCTCAGCCTGTTATCCCAGCACTTGGGAGGCTGTAAACAGGAGGATCACTATAAATCTGATCTACTCAGTGAGATCCTGTCCACCGTGTCCTAAAAATACAAAATATATATATATATATGTAGTATTGCTTAATGTGCCTTAAAGTGCTTTTTGAAGTAGTGTTGATTAAACCCAGGGCCTTTGCACAGAACTATATCCGTGGCCCTTTTTCATTTTTCATTTTGAGGCAGGGTCTGACTAAGTTGTCTAGGTGGGTCTCAGACTATGACCCTTCTTCGTTAGCTTCCCAAGTTTCTGGTACTGCAAGTATGCCCACCACACCTGATATAAAGTACTGATATTACTAAATGACCCTAAATACTATAAATTATGCTACAATTTATCTTTTTCCTAACAGTTTTGAGATTTATCCTTTATTTTTTATTTTTATGTATCTAGTACAGGGTCTACAGAGTCTCACTACACAGCTTGGACTCTTTTTGTAGTGATTCTCCTGTTTTCAGCCTCCCAAGCACTGGGATTAAAGGGCACACCACCACGCCCAGTCTCATTCACCATCTCAGTGCGCCATGGGGGCAGGACCAGCATGGCACACACCAGGGACCGAGCCCCGGTCCCTGGGCCTGCCTAAGCAGGTTCTTTAATCCACTGAGCTATCTGGCCAGCCCTATCCTTTGTGACAGAAGTAGTTCTAATAGGGTTTTTTTTTTTTTGTCTGCTTTAATATATTCCTTTGGTCAAATATATTTCACTGAATGACTATTACAAATAAACTATTTGCTTGTTAATATACATT